CAAAAAAAAAAAAAAAAGTCTTACAACATCATGAGGTATTTAATTTATTTAACACTAGGATTTATTAAGACCTTTTAAGATTTGGTAGGATTTCTAACCAAAAAAATCTTATACAAAATTACACTTCAAATTCTACCTCCAAAGTTAAAATTTCATAAAAAAAAAATTCAAATCTAAAAATCCTAAAAAGTCTCAAATATTAAAAAGTCTTACAATGTCACTTAAATTTTCAATTGAATACACCCATCTTAGTTTTTATGTATTCTTCTCACGCATATAAACCCAACTAATACAAAATTACCCTTTTGAAGCCTAGCATTAATCTCTGGATTTTCCAGCAAACATTTGGATCGGAAAGTGACATGATGAGGTTGGCTATGGAAAGCTGGAACAATCATTCATTTTGCTAGTATAGAGTTAGTTATTTTATGGTTTTGTTTGCTTAGTAGTCCTTTTGTTTTCTAGTTGTTTTGGGAGTAGGTTTTGTTAACCTACTAGGTCCCTTTCAGGGTTCAGTGGTAGGTTAATTTTGTTGCTGTTGTTTTGTCGAATTGGAGATTGTTGTCAACCCCCGAGGCCATAGCCTTTCTATGCTTGGAGATTGAACTTTCTCTATTATTACTTAAGGTTAGTCTACTTTCATCATTTATTCTCTGGATTGTTATTGGCTATGTAGCCGAGACTGGTGTACATGTTTTGTTCAGTTATAAATCCTACCATTTCAAAAAAAAAAAAAAAAAAAAAANNAAAACCCTAAGGTTGTACGAGTAGTTTCTTTTTTTTTTCAGTATTAATTTTTCAATGCCGGTGTTGTTCGTGTCGAGCTGAGCTGAATAGCCCATGCTCAAATTCATACTCTTTTGATAAACGTGTTGTTTCGATTTGTTTTATTTAATAAGCGAGCTAAAGATTTAACTCATTGAAACTCGTGAAAACTCACCTCGACTCACTTTATAAACCTTAAACAAGTTGTTCGCAAATAAGTTCGACTCGACTGTTTTAGTAAATTAGACAAAAAAGCAAAAAATTAAAAGTTGTTCGCAAACAAACTCATTCATCTTATTTAATAAACGAGTTCGACTAATTATTTGATATTGACTCATTTAGCCATTAAATATTGAATGGTGATTTGAGCATGGTTTTCCAATGAATATAATAATCTTTGGTTGTTTTCCTATTAAGTGGACATCTGGAATAACTAGTAAATTACAATTTTATTTTTTTTTCGAAACGACTGATTTTATAGAATAAAATAGATTAGTACAACTAGACATCGACCAGGATAAGCCAATCGGTCATCGAGCCGAATCTAGAATAAAACAGATTAGTACAACTAGAATAAAACAGATTAGTACAACTATTACACCACAATTGGTGCATTAGTTTCGCAACAGCGTTGATGCTTTGGTGGATTGCACTAGAGCTTTCACGAGCCGAATAAAATTGTATTGACGATCGAATGGCTGTGTTAGACACATCAACATTACCATTAACATTAACATCAGTTGTGGACTATATTCTTGGACATATTATTTGGGTAGATAAATCTATATATCTATATAATTGTAGGCTATCTAATGAGATAGCCTACATTTTTCCGCCCATAAATTTTCAGCTATATAAGGTAGCGGTTTTCACTTACTTCTCTATAAGATTTTTGTTTTCCCGCCCAAATGATCTTTGTGCTACACAAGGTAAGTACTTTCACTTATTCTACAATCAGTAGTATTTATAATTTTTAATTAAATAGTTTTTGTGACTTCTGAAATAATGATGTGCGTGATTCAATTGGTTACATATTTGAAATTTATTTTTTTTTGTCCTTATAAAATGTTTAAATATTATAACAATGTAATTTTGCAGGAAAAAATGTATTTACAAATTAAATTAATATTATTATATTTTTCTTTTCTTTTTTTTTTAGTGACATAAAAAACAACAAAAATATAAAACTCAACAAATGCCAAAAAAATTCATTTCATGCTAACAGAAACAAATAAATTTGAAAATTTTTCAAATAACATTACATCCAACAATGTCATAATTCCTGCAAATTATATAATATTAATGATATATATACAAAAAATTAATTCCAAATATTAAATAGTTATATCAAAACAAAATAACACAATAAAAAAATACTGCCAATAACTGATTTTTTTAAGTTACAATTTTTTTAGACATCAATATTAAATAATATAAAAATAAATTTGTTTATTGGTTTTAATTTTATGCTTTTCAAACTTAATGAAATGTGATAAATTAATATTGAATTAATATTATATTAATTGATTAATATTAATACAAGCATGATTGAATTAAGGAATCAAAATACCGAAACATATACTTCATTTGATCACATCTCTCCTTGAACCCCTCATACCTTAATTTACTTTGAAACATATTATCATCAATAGTATTATAGATAATATAAATTAATCACGAAGTTTCACTTTGATCATCGATTTTCGAAAGCTAGGCCAACCTCGGACTGCAATGAAATGAAACTTCGCACTCGTCGTTAACCACAAGAGAATAATTGTGTGGAGGTTTAGCGAGAAATGTGGGCAGATGAACGAACACACTGCACGCGCAATCGTTATCCACTTCCTTTAACCATCGGCAACATTCTTCCTCCACCCGAGCATTTTCTGTTTCGGTATGCATCAAATGTTGGTGTACTTCTTGGTTGTCATGGTGGTTGTGGTGGTGGTGGTGTCCATGGCCGTGGTGGTGTCTGTGGCGGTGATGGTAGTGGGACCACCCGGCCGAACTGAAAGTTACAAGTGCACAAGCACGATCTGCCTGTAGCGAAAAAAAAATAAAAAGTTTAAAACATGAAAGAAAATGAAAAATCACTATCATGAATTGTAATTATCAATTATCACAAAGTATGAATGAGATTTTACAACTAAAACATTTGATATCAATTAATCAAATTCAAAAAAAAAAA